TACCCACCAATCCCACGAGAAGTGGGTGTGTGTGTTAAGACAATAGTGCCATTAAGCATGTCTCCATTGTGTGTGTTGTGTGTGTGTGTGTGTGTGGTGTGTGTGTGTGGTGTGGTGTGGGTGTGTGTGTGTGTGTGTTCAGATGGCGTTCACAGTGGGACAAACACACACACATTTCTTTATTTAGCTGAATGAGAGAAATATTCCAACCGCTGCTGTTTGAGGGTTCAGCTCCGATCCAGCTGACAGCTTATTGTTTATCTTTAGAGTTCTTTTTTCTGGCCTTTGTAAAATTGTTTGACTGGTTCCTGGTTAATTGATCGCCCAGTGTCACCTTTTATAAATGACAGTGGCTCAAAGTGTCACCTCAGACTCTTTCAGATGAGTAAAAAACACAAGTATGTTTAAAAAAAAAAGGAGAAAACGTGAGCGATTCCTCTTCCAGGATGCATCAATATTAAATATACAGCGTAAAGTAAAACCCATCAATTAATTCAGTGTTTGCTGGTTCCAGCTTCAGGATTTCAGAATATCTCCTCCTGTCCTCTGTTGAGCGCCTCCTCTTCTTTGAACTGATAAAAGCGGGGCCTGAACACCACAGAAGAAGAAGCCGCGCTGAGGCCGAAAGCCACTGGAATGCCCGACACTTGGCGTGATGAAAGCGCGTCGACGCTCGGCGCTGTAAACAAACCGTTGTTTACGAGCGTTGGTGGGTTCGTGGGCACCGAGAAGACAAACAGACAGAGTCCAAGAATGCGGCACAGTCAGCTTTTCCACTTGGGTTCAGGATCCAGAGCAGAGACCAAGACATCCCAAAACATTGTATTTTATAATCTTATTAATCTTCAACGGTATTGTTTGATATGTAATGAAGTCTTATTATTATTGGTGCACATTCTGTTTGCACAAGATATACATTTATTTATTATTATTATTGTTCAACTTTTGCCTTTTTTCCAGCCCCAAACAATTATATTTTATTCTTATTAACATCTTTTTACCTGGAGAAGAGATTTTCTAGTATATTTATCGGTTATATTAACGGTGGAAGAGAAGCTGAATGTCATATTCTCATTATTCCACTGTGCACAAGATAGAGAAGAGAGTTTTTCATTGATAAAGGTGATTGAACAGTTGGAGATCATCAGTGTGGTCGAGGTGTGTCCGACAGGTGAAGCGTGTTGTTACAGCGCCGAGGGTGTCGCCTGTTTACCTTCTAAGTTTAGTCAGAACCAGTTTTCAGGACTGAGTCACGGCGCGCTCTTGGATTCCTCTCATGGCTCCTGTAGATGCTTTGGATTCCCAGCATGCCTCAGGCCTGTGACGTCATGGTGATGTCAGTCGGAGACGCCGCTGTCTGCCGTCGGTGTGGAAAGATGAGTGTTTATGGGTGTGTTTTCAGTCCTCCTCTCGGTTTCCTCTGTTAGCTTTCTGCGTCTCCACTGTTGATTTTCTCGACCTTGATGCGTCGGACAGGATTCCCGCTCGTCCTAGAAAACGTTCGAAAATTTAGAGAGTAGTTATTTCACTCAAGGAAACACCTGGAAATGGAATCTATGTTTGTTAATGAACCTAAGACACTTTGTTAAAAAAGGAGGAATAAAATGGGAGTTGAAGTCAATAAAGATAACTGAGTGAATTGTCTGGGAGAAGGATCCCTCCACTGCGGCTCTTCTTGAGGTTTCTTCCATGTTTTCCCACTTTAAAGGCTTTTTAAGGGAGTTTTCCATCACCTGAATCGAGGGCGTTGAGTGTTGCACAGATTGTAAAGACGCCTGAGGCAAATTGTGATTTCGGGGTCACGTGTTCACACCCTGGCCTAGTTTTGGGGCCGAGCTTGACCCCAAATTTCCACTTCAAATAAATAAATCAATACTTTAAAGTTACAAACGGAAGTAAACTAAATTGTGCAAATAATGCAGTGCGAACGATTATGACCATTAATCTGTTTGTGTCTGAACCCGACCCGAGCCCGACCTACAGCAAACCACGTTTCCTGTAACTTTTACGTCGCCAAACCGACTTCAATCTTTGATTTCCCTTCTCGTGGTTAGAAACAGCCGCTGTGATCCATTTATAGTCCTTGCTGACTGATGTTGAGTTATTTATTTGTTAAGTGTGAGCTGAAGCAGTCTCATGAGGCTGTTCGCTGACAGCTGACAGGTTGGTGCGTGTGCTCCGCAGCCTGCAGGCGACACACCTCAGTCCTTCTTATTAAAGATCAGCCGTCGTGACCTCCTTCTGCAGTCGTGATCCGCGCTGTCAGGAACGACAGGAAGTGTTGCTCTGTGAGTTGTTTCTGGTGCCAGCCTCGGGCGGCGATCCAGGGCGGAGAGGTCGCTCCAGGCCGAACCCCACGGGCGTGCGCTTGGCACCGGCCGTGCCGTAATTAACCAGCAGCTACCAGCCAGCGGAGGCCGGGTTCGGCTGCGGCTGCTAACCAGCCTCTCTGGGCAGAGAGCGGCCGGCGGTCACTCAGAGGTCGAATCTGACTCAACGTCTGGCTGCTGGCACAAACAATGAGGTTTTATTTTACACACAGCGGCTTCTGGGCTCCGTTTTATTTACACTTTTACATCTGAGAGCATCTTCAGATTGGACCAACCTTTTAAAGCTTTGTTTGAAGAGGTAGTTTGCTTCTGCAGCCCCGACATCTTATATGAAGACAAAGATTAATGATGGTTTATGAACCTGGACAGAAACAGGAAGAGAGAGAATCCATCAGGAGGAAACTAAATAAAATCAGTTTTTCATTTATGGATTTGTTTCTTTTCTGTTTTATGTCAGTGTGAACTGAATATTTCGATGTTTATTTTGGGGTTTTGTGCTGTTGGCCGGACAAACCAAGACATTTAAAGACGCCACCGTAGATATGAAACTAATGTAGAGACTCTTTGCACTATTTTCTGACCTTTTTATACACCAAACAAGTGATTCATTGTGGAATCAATGCACTGAAGTATCAAACGAGTAAAATATGCCAACATCTGCTCTCATAAATATAGAAACTGAAGAAAAACATTGTTCTGAATAAATAGTAAGTGTTTTTGGTATCCTTAACAAATCATGTTTATCATTATAGAGTCTGGATCTTCGTCAGGAAGCCATCTGACGATAGGAAACCTTCCAATCACAGAGCCTAAAACGTGTCCATTCAACCTTCTTTTGAATGTCGGCTGCGTTCTACGATCCGACCAGTTTCTAAACGGACATTTCGGCCACGTTTTATCCCCCAGAACAGATCTAGAAACGAGGCGTCTCGGGGTCATTGTCACTGCTGTCATTCACACCGATGGAGGTTTTCCTCGGCACACGTCAGGTCTGCAGGCTGCATTGTGCCGCCTCATGTTGTAACACACAGCAAACCACAGAGGACTGTGTGTGTGTGTTGTTGGCTGCCTGCCATCTGTTCTTTATTGTCTGCTGATACAGTCTCTCTCTCTCTCTGTCTTTTATCTCTGACTTCCTCTCTTCCCTCCTTCTCGTACATTTCATCCATCGCTGTCTCAGAGATGCTTTGATGCTGCTGCCCCGTCGACGACCTCCTCTCACCTCTTTGTCTTTCACTCCTTTTACTTCTCTTTGATACGCTCTCTCTCTCTCCTCGTCCCTCGCTCTTTCCCTCCATCCGTCTGCTGCTGGCCTGCTTCCAGCTGTTGTTCAGTTCTCGTGTCGTATCTCCACCCGTTTGGTTTCTCCTCCACACTGCGGCTCTTTCACAATCAACAACACGGCCTCCTTTTTCATTCATAGAGCTTCCACTGCTTACGGTGCGTGTCCACAGGGGCGTTTCCCAGCATTGGACGCCTGTAGTCACAAAAGGCTCCACCTTCCTACAACCACACAAACACTGATTTCAGACCAGACCCATGGCAGCTTGTTTGGAAACTTTCTCTTATATTATAGGAAAGAACGGTTAGTCTAAAAGTGTTTTACCCCCCTGAATCGCTGACTTTACGTGGCGCCCCGTCTCTCGAACGCACCACAGTGCTACCAGAATGCATTGCACGGCTTCTTAAATAAGCAATAAATGGAAGTATTAATGTTTGGTTATCGTTTTCTTACTGTTTTATCCAATAATGGAATAATGGGCAGATAAATATATAATGTAAATGAGCATTAGTCGTGCCCCTGTTTTATTTTAGGACAGAGAACCTGGTTTCAGTCAGTTTCCACAGTGTAAATAAAGTTTCTTTTGACTCTGGCCAGAAAACAACCCTTTATGTTCTGCTGCTTTGTTGATTCCAGAGTTTTAAATGTTTGGTTGACTGAAGCCAACAACACTTCCACCAGGATTAACATCCCTGAATCACCTCATTTATACTTTATCCGGCTCACTCTCATGTCCCTTTTTAGTTATTTCCGAACCCTCCGATTGGATCCCTGCCAGTGTTTCTGCGTTTAAACCGCCTGTTTTCCGCCGTACCTGCTGCGTTCCAGGTGACTCCTCCGTATTGAGGCCGACTGTTTTGACACGACTTTAAACAACAGTCAGTTTATATCTTCCTGCAGCTAAAAACAGATTTCAGATCTTTGAAACATCTGACTTGTGTTTGGATCACAATGTTTTAGCCTGCTGCAGTGCCTGATGGTTAAAAAGGCAGATATCCTTTGGAGGTTCATCCTTTTAACGTCCTGGCGTATATGTTGAGGAATGGAGGATAAAATGTGCTCTTACGAGGCTGTGGAGTCGGTTTTACATGTTTAAGAGATGTTTGACCCAGAGGGGAGAGGGAAATTTAAAACTCGAGCGAGGAAATGAAACTGTCATGTCAGTCCTGGCTTTCATTTGCATCTTTTGATCTTCATCTTATTTCATCCCTCTCTTCCTCCTCCATCGCTTTTCCCTCTTTTAATAAATCTTTTCTCTCTCTGTATCCTTTTGTAATTTACCCACGATGCTCTGCTGGCATCCACATGGTGTATCTCTGTCTTGCTGTACTGATCGGTCGGTACCGAGGTCGTGCCGCGCTTCGTTTTGCTGAAACATTTGAAAGTGATCTCGTGTTTGGAGGGTTTGACTGAACATCAGTCTGCAGTTCAGACCTTGTTATCTTGTTTGTTCCTGTTGTGTCTCAGCCGTTGTGTTTCTGTCTTCCAGCTGCCTTCACATAAACAAGCTCTCTTTGTGTGGCCCTCATAAAACACAAATATGTCACTCAGTGGGACTGAATATTTAGGAACTGCAGCTGAATTTTACAAGTTGAAAGTAGAAATTTGTTTGCTTTATTTTCCCCTTTCAGTTTCAGGATTACACAATTTTGGTTCTTCAGATTCTGGATGAAAATCTTGGGTTCTTAAGTATGTAAACCTAAAAAAGGAGTGGGGTCTTAAGTTGTGCTTCAGTTTTTGGGGATCCTGATTTTAGCTTGATGAGCTTGATAGTCTACGATACGTTTAAAATGCGTGCTCAGCTCAGAAAACTCTTTTTACGTTCAGGAACAAAGATCTTGGGTGTTCTAGTCTTTTGGTTTGGGATTGAAAATCCTGTGTTAAAGTCGAAGTTGTGTTAAGTCTGAACTTCCTGCATCATTTTTCACCTTTTCACCTTCACCTGTAGATCTCTAGGTTCAGGGATAAAAGGTCTTGGTTTGCCATGTGATTGAAAGTGTTGGAGATACTTGGTTAAAGGTTTCAGGTTTAAGGTTAAAGATTTAGGGTTATATTTGGAGCTTAAGTTTTATCATTTAGGGGTTAAAGACCTCCAAGTGCTTTCGGTTTTCAGTCTATTGTTAAAAGGTCTTTAAACGTCCCATATTTGTCTGTCTAAAGCAGAGATCGGTGATCACGTGGTGACATTGCTTTCTCAATAATAAACCTTGAGCATGTTTGTGCTCATACGTGTCCTCCTGCTCACTGAGGGAGAACCGAACGTAAAAATAGAAACAAACGAGAGAAATGAAAGCGAATTAATGATGGAGATTATTCTGGAGTGCGCCAGGAGTCCTGATGCTTCACTTTGAAGGTCTCTTCTGTGCTGTTATAGTCTTTCTTTCCTCTCCTGGTTCTGCAGCTCAGTGTTGGCACAGAGGAAAGGAGGGATGGAGGGATGGAGGAGTGTTTTCAGTCCCGTGACGCTCGCTCTCATTTCTAAGTTTTTCCTCCCTGAGCGATGGAGGAAGATCATCTCCATCCATCTGCTTTCCTCCGGTCCTCGTTTGTTTTCCTCATTTTCATTTCTCAGCATTTACTCTTAATCCTGTGTCTTGGGTTCAGGTTGTTTTTTAAATCATAGTCTTGTCTGTTCGAGTCTCCGGCTGCATGTTGAAGTGTCCTTGAGCTTTCTCATGATCTGCATTTCATCTCGTTCATTCGGTATCAGACAACACAACCCGTTTTCTCTCTCAATAGCAATTCCACTTGAGCCCGACCGATATATCGGCTTGTTGCAGACACATCGATATTGTATCGATCTGCGTTTTTCAGCTATATAAAGCAAAAATGTTTGTAGTTTTTACCGTACCGATGTTTAACTGTTTATCTTTTATTTCTTCTTCATTTACTAGAATGAACACGAGGCTGGCGTCGACTTCAGTGAAAACCCCCTTTTTATAGCTTCAAATAACTTGTTCAGATTGATGGCTCTCTAACAGAGTCCAGATGAAACATAATCGAGTTGGGCATCGACTGATCGAACAATCGTTTGCAGCTTCACTTTCATTCAGAAAACTCTGATTTTAGAAACACTGATTGTTTGCTGCTGTCAGCTGACTAATGTGACACTTTCATCACTCCGTCTTCCTGCCGTTCCTCCTCTTCCTCTCTTCCACAAACTCCCATAAATGCAGTTATGAATAGTTTCATTGTGTGTGTGTGTGTCTGTGTGTGTGTCTGTGGGTGTGTGTGTGTGTGTGTGTCTGTGTGTGTGTCTGTGTGGTGTGTGTGTGTCTGTGTGTGTGTGTGTGTGTGTTTGCCAGTTGATGGATTGATTGAGTTCAGGTGTGCCGCCCACATGTTCCCAGATGTTTTTTTTTCTCACCCAGAAGCCTCTCTGAAACCCATCCGGACTTTCCCTCCACTTGCTTACTCAACACAATTTTGTCCAAGCAGCATTTCTTTTTTTATTTCTCTGCTGCCTGTCTGGTGTTTTCCTCAGCCGCAGGAAACCAAACACTGTTACACAGCGTTACATGCAGTTATTACTCAGGTGTAAAGTTTGGTAATTCAAATTTATCTTGTAAAAAATGTCCAAATCCCCTAAATCCCTTGATTAATAAACAAACAAATAACACTCAAAATAATATAACAAACAACCAACAAACAGTTAAAAAAAACAGCAAACTACGTAGATAACGAAGCAAAACAGAACAAAAGAGTTACAACCTTAGACTAGACACAATTAATGGAAACAAAAATTCATGAAAACACATTAAGAAGAAAAAACAACACATTTTGAAATGAGCAAAAATATGACAAAAAAAACGATATTTATAGGTAACGTATCCAATCAGAAGCAGCCTGAAACATAAAAGCTTTTTACCAACTTCCTCCGATACAAAGAGGATCTGATCTGAGCTTCTTCTTCTTTTTGGACGATAAGGACAGTTAACGTGTGCACACTTCACAAAGATCATCCTGTTGTCCATTATTCAGTTGTTTGACTGATCTGGAATTTCTTCCCAGCAGAGGCGGTCAGCCTGGACACTGCAGTTAGTCGCTGACAGCTTAAACAGAAGTCACACTTAGGGGATATATTATTGGTGTTTGCTGAGTGAAGAAGATCCTCTTTTTGCCATTTTAACCCGTTAATAAAAGTGTATTAATGGTTCAGCTATCAGCCGAGGCGGCCCACCTCAGCTATTAACCCATTGTCCTCCATTAGGTATCGATACTGAAACTGAACATCCATTTTTGCCATTAAAACTCCGCAGCCGGTTGAATCGGCTCATTGTGACCACCCTGATTGTGGGTCACCTGGCGGAGCGGCTAATTACGGCCCCGCCATTGATTTCCATCCCTGTCAGTCCCAGTGCTGTACTGGAAACCAGCAGAGGGGAACTGGAGGGCCCCCGAAAACAGGAAGCAGCTGGATCAACATCCTGCCTGGTAAAGAGGGAGGCGTCGCACCAACACAGGCCGGCGTTTGTAAAAACCTCAACAATGCCCCCCTCTGTGTGTCCGCCGGCCAATAGGGACGCTTCTTTCTGGATTCTTTCCAGACAGATACCAACCCCACACACACACACACACAGTGGCACTAATAATAATGGAGACCAACAGCGGGTGAACTTTTACTATGAAAGGGTGAGCTGTCACTTCCTGATTCAGACTGCATCCTAGCAACATCTGGAGGAAAACACAACATCAGTTTGTTTGTTGGTGTTTTGAGCTGTGGGAGGCAACAGTGGTAGTGCAGAAAGTTTATTCGTATAGCGCCTTTAAACCGTAAGAATTTTTTAAGAATGATTCAGTATGGCAGTAGCACTCAACGCGTTGGCTTTTATATATAAATTCATGCTTAAAATTCAACTTTAACACGTGCTGAAAAATTAGAGACCAGTTTTCCAGTCATGGAAACACTCAGATCACCTACATATTTGAAATTCAACTTAATTTTCTGTAAAATTAAATGAATTCTACTTAATTCTAAAACTAAACTCAATTAAATGTGTCAATACTAGGCCCACCAGTAAATGATGTGACCGTTTGTGAGCTTTAAGTGCTTTCCTGTATCGTGAAAAAAGGATTTTGAAAGATGCACTCCAATCAGTAAAGTTATGTGACTTGTTATGTTACAAGAACGTTTTTCTAACATAAACTTAACGCTTGTAAGCCCTGGAAAAATCTTCAAGGCCTTAAAAGTTCTTAAATATGAAGAAATATAGCCTTTTGAGTCTCAAATATTGTTTAAAATGTGACCTTCACTATAAGACGTCAGAAAGTGATAACATTTGTAGATCCGGGACCGTACTGGGAGTCAAGGCTCTCTCTTTGATAAAGAGACATTGCGAGTGTACAGGCCGACACAGATTGCGGCTCATGAATTAGTAAAAAAAGGACTGAAGGCTCTAAGTGGACCTGGGCCACTGGCCTACTTAGCACAGAGGCCCGAGGTGTCACAGAGACCAGCAAGGTTAATGGTGTCTGTGTGTATTGATGCGTCACTGTAAAGGCAGACCAGTGTCGGTTTGTAAGTGGTTCTTACGGGTCCTTCAGGAGGTTGTGGTGGATATTAAAGAAGTTGTTGAGATCTTCCGGGAGGGTATTTTTTAGTTGTCATTGAGGCTTTTATTTCACAGAATAGACCAGACTACAGTTGGAAAACAGCAGAAATCTACTCAGAAGTGGCTTAAAGCTGCTGGTTCAGTCTGAAAATAACTGAATATCTCTCAAATCTTCCACTGAAACTGTAAAAAACTCAACGTTTCAGTGTGTTTCTAACGTCCTGAGAGATATAAAAGGTGTGTGTGTGTGTGTGTTGAGTAAAGAGTGGAGAAGGATGAGCGCTCCCTGATAACACTGACACTATCGCGCTGCAACAACACACACTTAGATATCTGAACAAAAAGCACACGCTAACAGTTAATGCGTGTGGGAGGAACATCAATTTGCCTCCACCGCCACCCCTCATTTCCCATGACCTCTCAACCTCGCTGCCTCTGCTCTGGGTCTTAAAACCCAAAACACACACAGTGAAGGTCTCACCATGCTCAAACAACGAGTTCAATAAGTGTTTCTATTTGTTCTGGGTGCGGACGAGAGAGCACGAGAGAGGACGAGATCCCTGAGGATCTTTTAAATGTGGGGATTTTGTCTGTGGTTGTTCTGGGAAACCTGAGCTCTGAAACCTCATGTTCAGATCTCGAATCTTTCATCATTACATCTCAGATTGTTCATAGTCAGATCTCAGAGGATCAGATGTATCTGATAAACTTACTGAAGCTCTGAGGACAGACATCCGACTCTCTGCTATCTCCCTCAGTGTCGTCTCTCTGTGTCTGTTCGGGTCCTGTTATCCTGTTCAGTCTGCCGTGACCCTCAGTCTGCTGTCAGTCATCTGTCAGCTCTAATAAGACTTCCTCCTCCTCTTCCTCAGCTCTCCACTCAGTAGGAACAGATTGGTTCCCTTGTTATGCCGTCCGCTCAAGTGCAGCTCGGCGTGCCCTCAAACACGAACTTGCGAGGTCGTTTTGTCGACACGGCAGGTCAAGAACGCGGCGTGCCTGACGTACAAAGCCACGACAACACCGTTGCTAAGTAACAGACAACCAAAGCGGATGCTGACGAGTTGACATCGCTTTGACATTTTAAGGAAGTAGTTCATTCGGAACATTTGTGAGGTCTCTCGTTAACTCGACCGCACCTAAAGGCACCACGTGTTTGTTGCATTTGATTGACAGGTGTGTTGTTGTTGTTGTTTCTGTGTGTTACAGATGCGTTTGTGAACAGTCAGGAGTGGACGCTGAGTCGAACGGTACCAGAGCTGAAAGTGGTGAGTTCAGATCTCTTCTTACTGAGCGTTGAGTGATCTCCTGTTTACTGTACTGAATGTACAGGAGATCATTTTTATTACTATTATTATTTCTTTATTTTTCTGTCACACACATCCATTTCTTACTCCAACACTGACTGGTCCCTGTCTCCCAGGGCATTGTGGGTAACCTGGCCAGTGGTAAGTCGGCGCTGGTGCACAGGTACCTGACAGGAACATACGTCCAGGAAGAGTCACCTGAAGGTAAGAATATCCTTCCACCTGTCTGTCTTTCTCTCCGTCTGTCTCTCTGTGATCTGGCTGGATCTGTTTCACTGATTTAAATGAACTCATTCACCAACGAGCCCCTCCTCTGTCCGAGATTACATCCACCAAATAAAAAGCAAAAAGCAAAGTAGATTAAATCAATTTAGAATAAACGGCGGCCGGATTAAAAACCCCAGCAGGCACGAATGAAACGTTGACACAGAGTGCACAATCCCAGCTGTGTGTTTCTAGAAGCTTCTTCTGCACTCGAATGGAAACAAAAGCACAGATTTGACCAGCAGAGCAGAAATAAAGGGAGTCACGCAGCTCTGCAGCTCGTATTTTAGGGCGCTTCTACACCAGTTTCTCCACTTCTAAAGATTCAAATGTAAACTGCTTTCACTCACGCAGCCACGCTGGCTCCAGTGTCAACTGGTGAAGGGAGGAAACCAGTTTAATTCAGAAATTAATGTTAGAATTTAGATGAGACAGAAACATTTCTCTTTATTTCTTTTAGACTTTTCTTAAATTTCTTCCTTTTTTCTGGTGAAATAATCTGCTGATTATTTTCAGAAAATCTTTGAAAATCTGTGTAATCTCCTAAAGCCCAAACTCCTGCCATTATTAAAGAGTTTGTTTTGATCAAACAGTCAAAAATAATCCACATTATCAGAGAGAAAGTGAACATTTCATCCTTCACTTTCCTGCAGTTACCAGATCATTCTGGTTTATTACACTCTGGGTTTTTGTAGCTTTATACATCATTTTTATGAGGAACAATAACATTGCACCAAGTGAAAGGCTGAGATCTGATGGTGATGGTGACACCACTAAAAAATGTAAAACCCAAGTTGTAATAAACTGGAATTATCCTTAAGAATAACTTAATATTCGGCCCAGAATAACCGAGCCGACCCACACAGTAGCGTATATGAAACTTTAATGACGGTTGCTCTTCGTGCGCTTTCTCTCCAGAGCGCCTGAATGTTTCATATCGTCCTTCGTGAACAAATAAAAAGCTAACTGTGGTTTTCTTCAGTGTCTCTGCTCGCACGCCCCGCGGAGACGGCCATATTCTTCATCCAATATTAAAGCTGCTCGGCTGCCAGCTCCCCCGCGTGCTGTACAGTACGGCAGCCTCCCCAGGCAAAGACCCACTTCTGCTAAAGCCCCATGTTCCTTTAATATTTCACTACTGGAGCTTATTTTAGTCTCTGGAGGCTGGAGAGAGAGTAGAAACTGGTCGAGGTTTAGCTGTTGTCTTTTCCTTCTCCCTCTCCGGTCAGAGATCACCTCTGTGTCCACGTACGAGTCGAGATCTGGTGCAGGAAGCCCAGCATCAAGACATTTTATTGGGAAAGGGTTATCAGTAGTTTGACCTCTTGCCTTCAGGCAGCCACCAACAAAGACACTTTCACAGTTTTATTCCGGTAGAGATTTTCACTCTGTTCCAACCGGCCTCCGTCAGCTGCCGGTTTACTCGTCTTAATATATAGAGATATAAAGTTAAAGATGGACCATGAAGAAAGGGGGTGCAAATATTGAGGAATTTCCTTAATTGATTATTGGAAGTGTCTATAGTCAGTTATTAAAGAAGGCGATGCTACAGTTAACCTACAGTAATAACTTCCTGCACCAAGGTTTCACATTAAAAGCCTCAGATGACAGAATTCTTTGCAGTACTTTACAGGAAGTGACAGTGTTTTAAAAGAGGAACTCGGACATTATAGTGAACGTGAGCTAGTAGTATAGAGGTAATTACACCCTCCTCAACGTTTTTAACAGCTTTTCTTTTTAGACTCAGCTATTATTGTAGATTCTGTGGTACCCTTCCAGGAACAGAAAAACCATCCAGATCACACGAGTCCAGAAAATACCTAACTACCATACCGCTGTGGAGCTGCAGCTAATTAACCCCTCTTGACCTTTTTGTATGTTTAAAGCCTTAAAAACCATCAAACACAGTTTATTTGAGATGCAGGCTTTGCTCCCTTTGTCATGTGGGGACCCACCCGGAATCAGCCCACAAACCAATTTTAGCTCCCGGTCCCTCGGTGGAGGAACGAGGCCTCCGATGTTCAGACGCAGGAAAAGAGAGGAGTGCACTGAGAGTTCAGTCAGCCAAAAGAACAGTTAGATTATTTCATTAATACGTCACTAGAGGGGTTTATCGCAGATTAACCGATAAAAAGGGACTCCAAGGGATCAGCAAAAAGCTGCTCAGAAACTACAGGCGCAGTTGTAGCAGGAGGAGAAAATCCCAAAGGTTTGTGGTGTTGGGGAATCCCCAGAGCGGATTATTTCCGAGGTGTGCACACAGAAAAATGAGAATCTTCTTCAGCAGTGACGTACCTCTTCTTAAAATGCCCTGTGTGGCTGTCGAGCTCCGGCCTCCAGTGTCAGACCGCTAAATGCCCAACGGTCTGTTTCCACCGCTCGGCCCTTAATTACACCGCGGCTCTGCCAAAAGCAACACGACACGGCTTTTCAAGCAGCTTCGCATACCGTATCCGAGCCAGCCCTAAACAACAGCTCCCCCAAATCTTTGATCTAATGACTTGGCACCGCCGCCCATCAAGGAAGCAGCGATCCAGCTCGACTTAAACAACAACAACTGCTTTGATATCGTTGCATAACCACTGAGAAATAAAAGGAGCTTCAGGAGGAGAAGAGGACGGGGAAGCTGATGTGTTGTTTTTAAATTCCTGGGATCTAAAAATAAGCTGCAGCCCGGATTCCCATGGCGATTGATTGGGAGCGGAGCTGGTGGCTTGCGAGCGGCAGGGCGACCGCAGCACCATAAAGCCACTAACCAGAACTATTCTTAGGCTGCAGACTGGAGCCTCGGCTGCAGACGGTTCACATCGGCTCCCGTTAATGAGCAGAGACCGTTTCCTTCGTCCGTCCACCTCGAGCTAGTGCCCCAAACTTTAAACCTGCAGCTTCTTCAGGTTGGAGCGTCTCTCTGAACATCTAGCTGGTTTTTTTTATCCATACTCTGCTGTTCAAAACTGTGCTGCATTCAAGGACACTTCAGAAGAAACCAATAAGCATTAGCAATGAAAACTGCTGCTGCTTCCTCTTCCAATCAAAGCTTATACTTAGAATTATTCTCATTATCAATTAATTTACTGATTGTTTTTTTGATTAATTGTTGATTAATTTCCTCGAGGCAAGGTAGTTTTAGATTCAATGCTGCACAGTGTAGTTAAAGTTAAAAAGAACGTCATGAGAGAGAGAGAGAGAGATCCGTATAAAGAAGGATTAAAAAATGAATCCTTCAAAAGAATAAGATGTTTTAGTGGCATTTATATAAAAGCGTTTGAGAGTACTCCTCCTGATATTTGTCGTTGTGGTTGCAATGAAAACTTTCACCTTCTAGAAACTGTATTTTCTGTAAAAAACAATAAATTCTACTTGATTTGAACTGTTGTTTAAATTATTTCTTAAAACTAGTGGGAACCAGGGAACCACTAGTGGGAAGATGTTCAGTTAACAGTCACCTAAGACAAAGAAAAACAGAAAATCTTAATAATTCACAAGTTGGAAGTAGGAAACATTTTTGCTTAAACAATCAAAAGTTGCTACCAATACTATCTACTCAAAATATCAGATGTCAGAGTGTCCTTAAACGCAGGAGCAGGAGTTGACGACAGTAAATAAGGATGTAAAGTTCAGTAAATGTGCTCAGTGATGGATCGTGGATCTCAAACTGAAACCACCGGCTGCTCTGAAAGTATCAATCAGTCTGAAAACCTGTGATCTGCTCTGATCCATCGTCAGGAATGTAAACCACCAACAGCAACCATGTGCCGGTTTGTTGGATTGTTGTTGGTGGTTGGGGGGGGGGGGGTTTGCCTAATTTGAAAATGCCCTCGAAAAACCCCAAAAGTTCAACTTGAGCCGAGTGTTGGAGCAGCAGATGGAATCCATTAAAACAGAAAAGGAGCTTTTGGTTGGGAAATCACCTCGCACATGCAGCCCGACAGCGTTCAGAGGTTCTGCTGTACTCTACTACTCTGACAGACATCTGCAATCAATATCTCAGTTCTCCAGGCCGAACGTACTGCAGGTGAAGGAAGCAGTGTCACATTAAGAAGCTGTAGAAGAGTCTGGAAACCAGTTTAACCTCAAAGTGTAAACAAACTGAATCTGAGGATCAGATGGACAACAATCATTGAGTTAGCTGAAACATAAACGTTAAAATCTACTTGGTTAAAGATCTTTATTAAAAGAAACCAGCGCTGATGTTGGTTTCTTGGTTATTGATTGATAACTTTATGAGTCAACAGATTTTTTGATCTAGTTTGATCATTGAATGAGCTGAAATCAATCAAATGTCCTCAACCGTTACTTATGCAAGCTTTACAGCTTATTCAAAATAGTTTGTATAGTTCAAATATCTTCATTTGGG